GAGAGAGAGAGAGAGAGAATTTTAATATTTATTTTTTAGTTTTTGGTGGACACAACATCTTTGTTTGTATGTGGTGCTGAGGATCGAACCCGGGCCGCACGCATGCCAGGTGAGCACGCTACCGCTTGAGCCACATCCCCAGCCCAGTACAATGTATTTTGAACTAGTGCTTTTTAAAAAGATATTTTTAGTTGTAGATGGACACAATATCTTTATTTATTTTTAAATGTGGTGCCGAGGACTGATCCCAGTGCCTCATACATGCTTGGCAAGTATTCTACCACTGAGCTACAACCCTAGCCCCGTAACTGCTTCTTGAATTCTCTTGATCAGTATTTATCAGCTAGCTTTGTTTCATAAGAGGATCATAAAATGTAGAAAAGTTCTAGGATATCTCTAATATGAAAAAGATATAGGGTAAAGTATTTAAAGAAATAAGACTGAAACAAAAGGAAACTAATCTATAAATTTAAAAATTCAGTTCAAATGTTAAATCTATCTAGCATATTGGTTAGTGTGCTTTCTAATTCTGGTATCATGAAATGAGACACTGCTTTGGAAGGCATTAACTAATTATGTTCTATCATCCTATACACAGAACACATATTAAATCGCTCAATTTAAGTTTTTATAGGTATCCTACATATAGGATGATGGGACGTAATGGATTAATAAAAACTTAAACATAAGCATGAAATATGTTATTTACCAAAGGCTCACTTACCTTTTCTAGCTCCTCCATGTTACAGATCATATGGGCACAAGTGGTAAAAATCTCCACAGCTCGGGAACGGGTTCGAATACCATATACCTGGGAAAGCAGTTATGGCACAGACATGAGATTGGAATGTAATGAGGTGTGAACCTATGACTAGAAGTAAAACTATCAATCCTTACATCAGATTGGATCCCCTGGACAGATAGGAAATATTATTGTTCATATCTGAGGCAGACATTTACAATTAAGAATCATAATGTTAGAACTTATTGTAATTAACATTTTATGTAAGCCTCTGTGGTCTGATCTGGTTAAAAATATCAAGCTGTATAATGTTTAAAATCCTAACATGGCCAATATATTTCTTTTTTTTAATATATATTTATTTTTTAGTTTTAGGTGGACACAATGTGGTGCTGAGGATTGAACCCAGCGCCTCATGCATGCCAGGCGAGCACTCGACCACTAAGCCACAACCCAAGCCCCACCAATGTATTTCTTTCTTTTTTAAAAATTTAATTAATTAATTTTAAAATTTATTTATTTCTTACATACATGACAATAGTGGACTGCATTACACTCATAATTATCCATTCACAGCACAATTTTTTGTAACTCTGTATATAAAGTATGTTCACATCAAATTATGCCATTATACATGAGCTCTCTCTTTTTTTGCATTACAATTCTTAACACATTTTTATAACACAATTTATCAAGCCCCAACAATGTATTTCTTTTTCCTTTTTTTAAAAAATATATATTTTTTAGTTGTTGATAGACCTTTATTTTATTTATATATTTAATGTGGTGCTGAGAATCGAAGCCAGTGCCTCACACATGCCAGGCAAGTGCTCTACCGCTGAGCCCCACCACCAGCCCCCCCCTTTTTTTTTTTGGTTTTTAGTGGTGCTTGGGGATTGAGCCCAGAGCCTGGCACATGCTCTATCAACTGAGCTACATCCTTAGTCCTCGGTGTGTTAATATGCACATTGTGGTTGAGGGCAGGAGGACAGGAGGACAGGGTTAAAACATTATACACTAGGCATTCATATCTTCCTGTGAATGAGTTACCATTCATATACACATTGATCAAATACACACACACACACACACACACACACACACACACCCTGAGTATATTAAGGACCTATTTATGCAATGAAGTGATAAGACTACTTCTAAGTCCTTAGCTAAGGTAGGCAAGCTTAGGTAGAATACCTCAATGGGAGGTATCAATAAAGATACTAAATACTTAGAAATGAGCTATATGAAGATATATTTCAGTGATTTCATTGTTTTATCAAAAGACTACCCTTGTAGTTGTGAGTGAAAAGTCTATGGTTAATCTAGATTCTGATCCAGATCGTTGTCAGTTCCAGTCTTCAGGTATATCAGTGAAATACACCATAAACTCCCATCTGAGAGGCAGAGCTGACCAGAGCCTGAATAGCCCTTTTTTCTGAAATCATGAAGCTGAGATTTCATACCTCAGCCATGGTGAAGATCTTATACATCTCTGGAAGAATGACAGGAGCAACCAGTGGCATTTGTGTGTCTGTCACCTCTCGAGTGAACTCTATAAAGAAAAAAGTACTGTAAAAAAAAAAAATTAACTACTCATAAAGATATTAAGTGTGGAAATTTCCAAACTGTTTCCAGATAGCGGTTCCTAGTCAGCACACAAATAAGGACATTGGCCTGGTGGCCTTAACTAGGGAAGAAAAGCAGCGAGAATTATTGATTATTTGTTAGAAGAAGAAGAAAGAACAATATGGCCTTAAGGAAAATGAGATTAAGAAGGAAACCTTAATATAAATACTAAAAGGAAATCTGAAAGAGAACTGCATAAAAGTCTTTATGAAGTTAACCAGAAAATTCTGTATTAGTTTGTGTCCACCTGTCAACATTCAGGTGCACTTTGAGGTCTCTTTGTTCCTCTTTTTAGTTTTTTCCCTTGGCAAGTTGTTCTGATGCACATAATAAAGTATGTTCAGATTTACTAGGCTTCAACTCCATTCTTTTAAAACATAGTAGAATAAGACTTGAAGAAGGTAAGGGAAGTATGAGTCAGCTTTTTCTTTACTTTGAAAAACAAAAACCAAAAAAATATAACATACACAATGCACTAAGACAGCATAAAGGACCCTGGATTTCATGTTACTAAGTGGTATAATAAAATATAAGCCCTTGAGTTCCAATAAATGTTCACTTTATCTGATGATTTTCCAAATTATTAGTATTAAAATGAAGCTAATATTTGGAAAACATTCGAGAAGCCAGTTCAGGTAATTTAGTGAGTCCCTGCCCCAAAATAAAAAAGAAAAAGGGGCGAGGGATATAGCTCAGTGATAGAGCACCCCTGGGTTCAATCCCCAGTACAACATATACACACTAATAAGCTTTATGAAAAATGTAGTACAACTTAATCCTACTAATAAAGTGACTTAATACATTTTTTCTCTCCCAGTAGTCTCAATTTATTTATACTTTATAGGTTTAAGTTAAAAATAATTTTTTTATGAGGTCATTCAGCAAGTCAGGAAAACTCTGGGACACCAACAACACCTCGATTTCCAAACTTACTTGAGACTAAAGAAAACGTTTTAGTTTGTTGATCAAACATTTCAATTCTTTGCCAATATGTTTGCATTTCCTTCAAACCATAAAACTTAGTTCTCTTCCTACTTTTTTGGTGGTACTATGATTGAACCCACGGGTGCTATACACTTGAGATACATCATATATATATATATAGTTGTAGATAGACACAATACCTTTATATATTTATTTTCCATGTGTTGCTAAGGATCAAACCCAGTGCCTCAAATGTTGTAGGCAAGTGCTCTACCACTGAGCTACAGCCCTAGACCTCCAGTCCATTGTATTTTGAGACAAGTTTTCACTAAATTGCACAGATGGGACTAGAATGTAAGATTCTTCTAACTTGGCTTCCTGAGTAGCTGAGATTATAAGTGTGTACCACTGTACCTGAAGTTAATTCTCTTTCATAAATGGATAAATTATTGAGAAGCCTCATTAAAGGGAGTCAGGTACACACTGGAGAAGCTGGGCACAGTGGCATGTGTTTGTAGTTCCACCTACTTGGAAGGCTAAAGGAGGAGGATTGCTTAAGAACAGGGAAACACAGCAAGACTCCACCTCAAAAAAAACCAAACCAAACCTAAACCAAACAGTACCAATAACAAGAAACAAACACCCTGAGAGAATCAGTCCCATTCTCTATCCATATACTAATGTCCTTCTATCTTTATGCATGACTGAGTTTCTGCTGTTGGAACTTATACAGTCTACCCTCTTTTGCAAATATTTGGAGCACTGATTTGGGAATGAAGATTGGCTGCAATCCATTCCATGTCTGATGACTCCATTTCAAAAGTATAAAAATTTCCCTACCAGTTCTTTCCCTTGGCCGACAGAAAAGTGATCTCATTGAACAGTAATTTCCTTAGTAAAGTACAAGAAGGGCTCTTCAGCATTCCAATCAGGATAAATGTAAAACCATCCTTTTTCTTTGGGTCTGTCAGAAGCTGAAATTTATGATGGAAAATTAGAAAGGAACAGTCTTCCTTTCCATGGTAGAAAATACATGTTAACTGATAACCTGATGTTGTAAATAAAGAATCCTGAAAGTCTGCCACTGTGGCTCAGTGGCAGAGTGCTTGTCTAGCATGTGTGAGGCACTGGGTTAGATTCTCAGCACCACATATAAATAAATAAAATAAAGGTTCACTGATTAAAAAAAAAAAAAGTCTAATTCCATGAGGAGGAGTGTGAGAAGTCACCTGAATAATGAATTATAAAGGACCAGCATGGGAAATAAGGGAAGTAAAAATCTGAGCAAGGAACCTTTTGATCTTTTTGGTAAGTCTGTTTTGTATCTGAGCTAAAATCTAAAGCTTTGTTGCAAGCAATCAATAAGAATATAATGGGGAGTTCAAAAAGGCAGCCTGGAAGCCAGTGGTGGGGGTGTCACAGGCCTATAATTATAGCTATTAGGGACATTGAGGCAGGAGGATCATCAGTTTAATGCCAGCCTGGGCAACATGACAATTTTTTTCCCTTCCCCTTTCTCAACAAAGAAAGAAGGGGAGGGGGAAGGCAGCTGGAGCATGAGAAGAGGGAGTTTTGAAATAGATTTGCCTTTGATATGGAATTGATATTATCTATTATCTACCATTAATATCACATGAAATAGTAAAATTCAGCTTAGATGCCATTTGCTAAACTGAGATTCAAAGGGTGAATCTGGCAATTATAACCAGGTAAGAATACATTTCAGGTAAGTTGGCAAGTCACAGAGAAACAGATAAGATATAGATGGGATTTCCACGAACTTGTAGAACAGGGGAAGGACGATTTCTAACAGATGAGTACAAGATGGTGATAAGAATTTCTTTAAAGATTTCCAAGTGACTTCATTTAGTAAACTGGAAGCAGTGTAGAAATTGCAAAGGATTGAGAAACTTGGGCCACACCTTAGGATATATGAAAGTAGGTTCTGGGAGGAACTGACAGATTAATCAGAAGAGATATCCACCAAATCTCCCTGGAGTAAAAACTGAAGATCAACCTCTTAGAATGAAAAAAGGGAAGAGACTAAAGATTACATATTCTCTGAAATGGCTAAATGACAGGATTATATACACATTAAAAAAAATTTCTTAAATTTCTATAAGAAAATCCGATTTGACATATCTTTTTTTTTTCTTCTCTTTTTTTGGTAGTGCTGGGGATCAATCTGAGGCCTCACACATGCTAGGCAAAAAGTTCTATCACTAAACCACATCCCTGGCCCTATTTGACTATTCTTAACTTTGTCTTGGCTGCACTAAGCAATAAAACATAAGCCCTTGAGTTCACTTTTACCTGATGGTTTTCCACATTATCACTATAAAAATGAAGCTAATCAATTGAGAATATACAACTGGCTAAATGGAAAATAATATATATTAATAATGATAAATCATAATGACTAAAACTTGCTGAGTGTTTACCACATGTTGGTTATTGTGCTAAACAATTTACAAAGATTAGTTCATTTAAACTACTAAACGCTCCTTCAGATAGACACTATTAGCCTCTTAATTTTATATACAAGGAGATTCAGGTTCAAAGAAGCTACATGCCATGTGAAGAGTAAAAGTCAAGGTGAAGCCAGAATATGAACCTCAAATCTGACTGCTTAATCACCATGCTATTCCTGTATCCTTTCTGGCGGGTTTCAAACTCAGGTCCTTGTGCATAGTAGGCAAGTGTTCTACTACTGAGCTATACCTCCAGCTTCCTGTATCCTTAAGTGGTAAGGTTTGGTAGTAGAAGTAGTACTATGCCAACTTAATTCTCTAGAAAGAACCAATGGAGCTGGAGGGTAGATGTAGAAATAAAAACTAGGAAAGGAATAGCACTCATAAAAAACTAGAAGAAAGAAGTAGCATTTGTAGCAAATTCTACTGATCTTGGCTACTCTATCACATAGCTTCTTATAAGTGTTCCTGTCACTTGGAATCCAAGTACCAATACCAGGAAAAGGCTTCTGGTACCTGTCAGCACACGCATGGCTCCATGGACGGCATTTAAGTCTCCGCTCACCAACATCTCCATGAGCAGGTTGAAGAGTTGGGGCCAGGCTTCCGGCCAGTCCCAGTGAGCAATGGCTGACACTGCATAGGCCACACTGGAGCGCACTTTGCTTATGGATTCTCTCAACCCATTGGGCAATAGCTCCCGGATAACAATTTTTGCCTGTAGAGGAGGAAAGTCCACTTGCCATTAGATCAGGTTATAGGTGATCAGCAGAGCCCAGTCCAGTTTGGAACTATGTTAGAAAAAAATATAAAAACTGCATAGCTGTAGAAAACTCCAACACATAAACTTGACAAATAATTCATTCAGAGAGTTTACCTGTGATTTCTACACTTATGGTGTCCATTATAGTAGCCATTAGCTACATGTGGCCATTTCAATTAAAATTAAATAAAATTAAAAATTCAGTTTTTCACTTCAAGTAGGAAGTATTTAATTTTGTTTAATTTATTTATTTATGATCCTGGGGATTGAACCCAGGGGTGCTCTATCACTGAGCTACATCCCCATCCATTTTTTTTGCTTTCGACACAGGGTCTCACTAAGTTGCCCAGCCTGGAATCATACTTGTGATCCTCCTGCCTCAGCCTCTCAAGTTGCTGGGATTACAGACCTGTGTCACCACACCTGTCAGCCATATTTGAAGTGCTCAGTAGCTAAGTAGCTCTTATGTTGGACATCACAGATAGAAAAACATTTCCATAACTGCAGAAGATTCCAGCAGCCTTTGTGTCTCTACAATTTGTATCTCAATACTTTTGGGGGCAAAGAATATTTGCAGAGCACTACACAAAGCAGAAACATTATTTTATTTTCAAGCTCTTTGAAATTGGCATTATAATTCTAATTTTAGAGATTTAGTAAATTGAGGCTTAGTAGTCAAGTATGTTTCCAATTATCTCACAGATTGTAAAGGGCAAAACTGGTATTTGAACATAGGCCAGCCTGATACCTGAGTTCTCTTATCTACAGCATTGTGCCCCCCCCCCCCCATGCCAGCCACCAATCTCCTTTTCTACTTAAGTCTTTTGATCACTCCATGTTGTCAACGAATGTTGACAATCTCTTATGATGGCTACTCAAATATCTGTCTACAGACTACTCAAGTAACTGTTCTTACCCTTTCTGTAGTTTCAGGAGGCCTAAACTTTTCTGATTGGGCACACCAGTGAGTTTCCACGTATTGTTTCAAGATGACTGATGCTAGCTGTGAAGAGAATAAGCCAAGAAGTGCATTAAGAAAAAGACTTTTCATACATATCATATACATGGCTTTATACATTTGAATCATATCTAAATCTAAATCATAGATTATTTAAATTGGCCTTATTCTTTCTCTTTCCCATAAGAAAGTTTCATTACCAAGTAAAGGATGTTACTTGTAAATCATTTCAGTCTGGACTCACCTGACGGATTGCCAGTGCTCCCTGGGGATCTACAGTCAGCTCTGCCAAGTGAACACCAAATTCTGAAAGAGAAAACTTTAGTTTCAGTCTAAGAACATCCAAGAAAGCCACAGCAATTTACCAAGCTCTAAAAGTGATACCAATAAGAAAGATTTCAGAAAGAAACTTGATCCATTGCTTCTGAAAGTGCTGATAATTGCTAAGACTGATTGCTTCAAATAAGAGAAACAAGTTGGCCTGTAGGTCATGGTTTGTTACAATTTAAAGTTCTAGTACCTTTTCATTTATTTCAATTATTGCCCAGTAAAATCTAGCTATTCCCCCTGCCCTGCCCCAGGACACAAGGGACTGAACCCAGGAACACTTTACTACTGAGCTACATCTCCATTCCTTTTAAATTTGATACAGGGTCTCCCTATGATGTTGAGGCTGGTCTCAAACTTGTTCTCCTCCTGCTTCAGTCTCCTGAGTCGTTGGCGTTACAGGCATGTACCACTATAACTGACTCTTCTAGTTATCTTCCTTTTCAAAACCACAACATTTTTCTCTTGTTAAGGAACGTAGTAGCTAATTGAAAACTGTAATTTTCTAACCCCACCAACTTAAAAGGTGAGCTTTCAGGAGTTGTCCAGATATATTCTTTTTATAATTTAAAAAAGTTTTTTAGCTGTAGTCAGATGCAATACCTTTATTTATTTATTTTTATGTAGTGCTGAGGACTGAACCCAGGGCCTTGCACGTGCTAGGTGAGTACTCTACTGCTGAGCCACAACATCAGCCCATGTCCAGATATATTCTACCAATACATTATCAAGTCCAAGAAAACCTGGCATCAAGAGCTTAGTCCTAAAAATACAAGTGCTGCAAATGAAGTTTTTAGTAAGTATGTAAACAATAATCTTGAACTGCATATTTAGAGGCTCTAAACAACTTTTACTCCTAACCAAAATATAGATCTAATTTACACTGCAAAAGGAGTAAACTATCAAATATTTATTTATGAAAAGAGGAAGAAGAATGTAATATAAAGAGCACATCATAATTTCCACATCTCACAATCTAGGACTGCACTATCCAATATAGTATCCATCAGTCATAAAGGTTAAGTACTTGAAATGGTGGCTGGTGAGAACTGAGATGGCTGTAAATGTAAAAATACACACGAGATTCCAAACTCAGCATAAAAATAAAAGCAAAATACCTTAATAATTTTTATATTGATTATATACTGAAATAATACTTTGTATACACCAGGTTAAATGAACATAATATTAAGAATTAAGTTTAGGAGATCCGGGCTGACTGATCTGCGTGGCCCGCCCCGTGGCTACAGACGTGGGGCACCACCGAGAAGCAACCAGCAAGCAGGGAGAAACGTTGCTGCGGATTCTGTGGAATCCTGCCGGCTGAGACCCCACTGAGCCCAGGGCTGAGTTCGGGATTTCAGACGGGGAAGGAAGCGGTACAGTTCTATCCCCCACAACGGAAACTCCACCAAGGAAACCAGCAGCCACCATCTTGGAGAGCTGAAGTAACCACCGCCACTCTCCGACAGATTGCAACAATAAAACAGGTGTGTGTTACTCAGCTCATCTCCCATACAGCGGGGAATTCGCATAAAATCTCTCCTAGGCTTTCCGGGGGAGGGATTATCAGAGCGAGCCTGCATAAAGGAGAAACCAGGGGACTAGAGGCCAGGCCCTCGCAACTGGGCGGCTGGAGACCGCATGCCCACCGGCGGTAGCCGGCCCGCTGCCCGCGTGACTGGGCGGCTGGAGTCCGCCCCGCCCCCCCCCCGGGGGGGCCCGCCCCCCCCCCCCCGGGCCGGGGGGGCCCGGGCCCGCCCCCCCCCCCCCCCCCGCCGCCGGCGACTGGAGACCGCCCGCCCGCCAGCGACCGGGAGCTGAAACCAACCAGAGACACTCCAGTCCCACCCCCCCATTCGGACACCCCAGCAAGGAGCCTGGGGCCAGCTATAGCAGAGAGGTGACGTCACTGGAGCTCGGCCGTCGGAAGTCCTTCCCAGTGGAATCCACTTTAGCAGGCATAGTCTACCAACACAAAGGAGAGACAACAGAGATATACAAAACCAAAACAAATCTATAGAAGAGAGCAGAAACACAGCAATCAAATAGAGCTGGAAAGTAACGTGAACATCATGAAAAAACAAGGGAAAAAAGGAGTACAAACAATGCAGGACAACTTAATTCTACAGGAGGACCTAGAAGCATCAGAAACAGGGATAGGGAAAGAACTCAAGGCATACCTAACTCAGATGGAAAGGAATATTAGAGAAGACATGAGGCAGCAAATCCAAGCAATAAAAGTATATTTTGAAAATGAATTAAACAAACAAATTCAAATGGCAAAGAACGAGCTTTACCAGGAGATAGAGATCTTAAAAAAAAATCAAACAGTAATCCTAGAAATGCAGGAAACTATAAACCAAATTAAAAACTCAAACGAGAATATTACAAATAGACTAGATCAAGTAGAAGTCAGAACATCAGATAATGAAGACAAAGTTTATCAACTTGAAAAGAATATAGTCAACACAGAAAAGATGCTTAAATCCCACGAGCAATCTATTCAAGAGATATGGGATGTCATAAAAAAACCAAATTTGAGAGTCATCGGGATAGAAGAAGGCATAGAGATTCAAACCAAAGGAATGGACAACATATTAAATGAAATAATTCTAGAAAACTTCCCAGAGATGAAAGATGGAATGGATTGCCAAATCCTGGAAGCCTACAGGACCCCAAACATTCAAAACCGTAATAGACCAACTCCAAGACATATAATTATGAAGATAGCCAACATATAGAACAAGGAGAGAATACTAAAAGCTACGAGAGAAAGGAGGCAGATTACATTCAGGGGTAAACCAATTAGGTTAACGACTGATTTTTCATCACAGACTTTGAGAGCAAGAAGATCCTGGAACAATGTATTTCAAACGCTGAAAAATAATGGATTCCAACCAAGAATACTGTATCGAGCAAAATTAAGCTTCAGATTTGACAATGAAATTAAAATCTTTCACGATAAACTAAAGCTAAAAGAATTCACAGCCAAAAAACCAGCACTGCAAAGCATTTTGAGCAAAATGCTACAAGAAGAGGAATTGAAAAAAATAGTGCCCAAAACTAACAGCGGGAGGTATCTCAGTAAAGGAGGAGGAAAATAACCAAAAAGTAAAAACTAGCCAAACTAAAATAAATAAATAAATAAACATGACTGGAAGTACAAATCATATTTCAATTGTAACCTTAAATGTTAATGGCCTAAACTCACCAATCAAGAGACATAGGCTAGTAACCTGGATCAAAAAAAAACAAATCCAACAATATGCTGCCTTCAGGAGACTCATATGATAGGAAAAGACATACACAGGCTGAAGGTAAAAGGTTGGGAAAAATCATACCACTCACATGGCCCTAGGAAGCAAGCAGGAGTGGCCATACTCATATCGAATAAAATCAACTTCAAACCTAAGTTAATCAAAAGGGATAAAGAAGGACACTATATACTATTAAAAGGAACCATCCACCAACAAGACATACCAATTATCAATTTGTATGCACCAAACAATGGAGCTGCAACGTTCATAAAACAAACTCTCCTCAAGTTCAAGAGTCAAATAGACTACAACACAATAATTATGGGTGACTTCAACACACCGCTCTCGCCATTAGACAGATCCTCTAGACAAAAACTGAATAAAGAAACTATAGAACTCAACAGCACAATCAATAACCTAGACTTAACCGACATATATAGAATATATCAACCATCATCAAGTGGATACACGTTCTTCTCAGCAGCACATGGATCCTATTCAAAGATAGACCATATATTATGCCATAGGGCAACTCTTAGTAAATATAAAGGCGTGGAATAATACTATGCACCATATCTGATCATAATGGAATGAAACTGGAAATCAATGATAAAAGAAGGAAGGAAAAATCCTACATCACATGGAAAATAAACAATATGCTACTGAATGATCAATGGGTTATAGAAGACATAAAGGAGGAGATAAAAAAAATTCTTAGAGACAAATGACAATACAGACACAACATACCGGAATCTATGGGACACAATGAAAGCAGTTTTAAGAGGGAAATTCATTTCTTGGACTTCTTTCCTCAAAAAAAGAAAAAACCAACAAATAAATGAACTCACACTACACCTCAAAAACCTAGAAAAGGAAGAGCAAAACAACAGCAAATGTAGTAGAAGACAAGAAATAATTAAAATTAGAGCAGAAATCAACGAAATTGAAACAAGAAAAAATTGATAAAACTAAAAGTTGGTTCTTTGAAAAAATAAATAAGATCGACAGGCCCTTAGCCATGCTAACGAAGAGAAGAAGAGAGAGAACTCAAATTACTAACATACGGGATGAAAAAGGCAATATCACAACAGACACTACAGAAATACAGAAGATAATTAGAAAGTATTTTGAAACCCTATATTCCAATAAAATAGAAGATAGTGAAGATATCGATAAATTTCTTAAGTCATACGATCTGCCCAGATTGAGTCAGGAAGACACACACAATTTAAACAGACCAATAACAAAGGAAGAAATAGAAGAAGCCATCAAAAGACTACCAACCAAAAAAAGCCCTGGACCAGATGGGTATACAGCGGAGTTCTACAAAACCTTCAAAGAAGAATTAATACCAATACTTTTCAAGCTATTTCAAGAAATAGAAAAAGAAGGAGCTCTTCCAAATTCATTCTATGAGGCCAACATCACCCTGATCCCGAAACCAGACAAAGACACTTCAAAGAAAGAAAACTACAGACCAATATCTCTAATGAACTTGGATGCAAAAATTCTCAATAAAATCCTGGCGAATCGAATACAAAAGCATATCAAAAAAATTGTGCACCATGATCAAGTAGGATTCATCCCTGGGATGCAAGGCTGGTTCAATATACGGAAATCAATAAATACTATTCACCACATCAATAGACTTAAAGACAAGAACCATATGATCATCTCGATAGATGCAGAAAAAGCATTCGACAAAGTACAGCATCCCTT